GTCACCCTGCGACATAATCCCATGTGCCTGTAATTTCACCAGCACCCTTACCCTTCAAAACTGGAACTCAGTAACGCTGACATTACTGCTTGTCGGTGCAGTACCATCCTGGACGAACTCTTTCACAAGGAGCTCTACTGCTACTAAAAAGTTACTTTTACAGATAGTTTTACAGTTGGGGTCGGAGCTGTGAACCCAGTCCTTATCTTTGTCATTCGCTCCTTTCCTACACGTAATATCTTTTACACAATCCATTCGTATTTTGTTTGTTCTTTCGCCTTGTAGCTACCGTCATTAGTTTGATAATTTCATTGCGAGTCTCATTCAAGACGGAGTTTGGATTAAAAGAAACAGAATACGTATTAATGAAATTAATAATTACAGCAGCTGAATTTTGTTTAATTAATTCACAGGACAACTGCTACAATGCTTGGAGGCCATTATACAATAATTCTACGACTCAATTTTTATAACTATACGTTATACAATTGACATAAAGTACATAATTCATTGTTCTATGTTCAATTTCGTTGCAATAATTTGATTTTCTTCAGGCAAAAATTTAAGACGTCACTGGTCCGTTGGTTTGATAGGCATTGGAAGCAGTAGCAGTAGAGCTCCTTGTGAAATGGTTCGTCCAGGGAACTATTGCCACCTTACCTATTCTGCCGCCAAGTAGTAATGTTAGCATTACTGTTTTCTGGTTTTGGAGGGTAAGGGTGCTGGTGAAATTACAGGCACACGAGACTTGTTAACTTATGTCTCAGAGTGTCGACGCAGTGTCAGTGCCCCTCAGATTTTTGCGATTTAAGCTCTGAGTGGCACAGCAACTGTTATGGACAGGCGTGTACCTTACCATCAAGTGCACGACTTGTTCGTGCCGTGACTTAATATTGCAAAAAAGTAGGTTCCAGGTTCGACTTCGGGTACGATCAATTTGGGAAATATTTTTTTCTAAATTTGTTCTGGTCGGGGTTGTACTCCGGAGTAAATTCCGTTACTCTGGTATATGGAACTCCATGGTTTCCAAGACCATGCAAATACTGTGGTTGTTTGGCGTACACTGATTTGCACGTTCACGATTTTCACAAATTATTTGATTTTTAATTCGGGACTTAATCGTGTATGCATATATTATTTACATCGACGATTCGAACGTATTGCAACGTCTGTGGTCTTTCATTTGAACGCTTTTTTAACCGACTTTACAAAAGGAGGAGGTTCTCATTCGTCTGTATTTTTTTGTGTGTATATTACGCGATCACTCTGGCATTTGTTAACCAATTTTGATAATTCGTTTTTTGTTGGAAAGAGGGTACCTCGGTATTGGTCCCATTTAAATTTGAAGAAAATATTCCACCTCTAAGGTTGGCAAAAAAAGGGATTTTTCGGGTTTCGCGCACTTTCCTTTAACCGATTTCAATAAAACTTGGCAAATAGGTGTACTGTAGTCTAGGCTCTACTCTATGAGTAGAATCACTGGCTGAATGAATATAGTTCTGTAGTTAGAATGTCTTTTGAAAATTGAAATAAGAAAAGAAGAGAACATCTCGATATTACGAAATGTAATCCAACGTCGAAATTATGTAAAAAAGTACAATAAACCAAGTTTTGAAGATTATTCCAGTTTATATTCATAAAAGTATCTCTCGCTACGCATCCCAAGCTACGCCCCAGTTACAGTACTTCCAATAAAAAAGCCGATTATTAAACGTTTTTAGTAGTTATTTTTAATAATTTCATGCCGTCTCGTAATACGACATCTCCGAAATTAAAGTAGTCATAATAGTTAGTCACAAGTAACATACATATATATCTGTTGCTTTTGAATATCGGCAATATCGCATTCATACTTTTACAACGCAACTGATATCATTGTATACGTTACTTCTCATACTTTATCAAAAGCAACCAATCATGGATAAGTTGCTTTAGTATGAGTAACGGCGAGCGATGAATAGCACAGTAAATTAATAGGAAAAAAGAAAACTGACGATCGATAAACGATGTGGGCGTTTGTTTTACGAGCACGGTCCATTTTTCAAACCGTGTTGAAGTCATCTGTACCTACTGTTGGGTAATTTCCCGAAAAATTGTAAAAATAGGAAAAAAATATAATTTCGAAGGCTCATATTATGTTTTGCGTTTAGAAACATCTTTTGAAGTTTTATTTAGCGTGAATTAAATGAAGGCATTTAATAAAAGAGGGAGAATAAAAGAGAACAAAGAGATTTAAAATGATTTCACAACGGTGAAAAAACCTCCAACAACCACACCACCACCTGTTGTTGGCTCCATCGTTTTCGTTCAGTAACTTCAATTTTGGACAGGCATCAACGTCAATGGTGGAAAATTAAAGGAAAAATATCTGAAAAAAATATTTATTTTTCTGAAAAATATCCGGAAAAATATTTATTTTTCTGAAAATATGATTTTTTCAAAAATGGAAAATTTTCCATGACTCAACACTATCTGTACCCAACCACCGCATAAATGTCATACTTCTATTATAGGGACTATACCAAATATTCAGGGTTAACCTATATTACCTAACATCATAAACAACAATTTCCTTCCATGGTTTTTAATAATACGTCAGATTTTACATTCGTGCAAAAATAAACATATTTAAATAGATCGCTCTAAACGATACTCTGTGCGGTAACAAAAGAAAGCTCTGGCGTAAATACCAGTCAGGACCGGGTCTAAAGGACGTCGGGGAGGACGCTTGCACGTTTGAACTTATACTATTAGACATCGATCTAAAAAGTGTTTTTTTTTTTATATTACCAAGTCACACAACGGGATGAACTAATCCTGGGCCTGGTCGTAAGCGACACGCCTGTCCATAACAGTTGCAGTGCCACTCAGAGCAGGGGCACTGTCACTACGCCCGTTACCTTGAGACAATAAGTTGACAAGTCTCGTGTGCCTATAATTTCACCAGCACCCTTACCCTACAAAACCGGAACGCAGTATTGCTCACATTAGGCCTTGGCGGCAGAAATAGGTAAGGTGGCAGTACTTCCCTGGATGACCTCTTTCACAAGGAGCTCTACTGCAACTACTACTAAAGTGTCATATAGTGCAACAAAAACTGAAAAGTATATTTTTGGTAAAATTATTACGTTTTGTATTTTATGCACTAGAGCATAATATGCTATTTTATGCAGCCTACACCCAGCATAAATACGAACTTTAAGAGCATCAGAAGTGAAAAAATTGTTTTTTTTTATGGTAATGTAGTTTTGCCAGGTTGTTAGTATTTCGCAAACAACTCAGTATATAGGTTTATTGAGTTTTCGCGATTCGGAAAATTTTGGAAACACACAACACGTTGGAAAACGAAACAGTTTTTTTCGGCATCTAAATGGCGTATTTTGTTTTTTAAACAAACCAACAACGTTTCGGGCCCTTACACTTTACAGGTCCCATGGTCACGACTGACTGACTATATTATTATAGTTATACAAAATCAGTTCCTTATTGCTTTCTTACATTTCATTCAGTTCCTTATTGCTTTCTTACATTTCAATTAATTACCTTTTATTTGGAAGACAAAACAAAACCGGGAAACGAGAGTCACTTTAAAAAAAAAATTTTAAGATTTTTATTTTTTTAGATTAACAATTTAAAAAAATGAGAAAATGAGACGTCCGGTCACGTTAGATCTGCCGAACATCTGACGAAGTGGCATCTATGTAATCAATTCCGCTTTCCGCTCCGGGATACACGTGGATCCTAAATCTCGGGAAAACTATTACGCAGCGGGACCATTATTCAGCAGTGCTGATTTTGTTGCGGTTTTGTTTCTCTGGCAATCGTGATATAGGTATGATGGGTTGAGATTTGGAGAATATCTTGTAGAATATACATTTAATATACTATATGATAGAAATGATTCAGTTAAATAAAACTCTTAGATACACATATAAATAGATTTTGTAATGATCCTGTTTCAAATTGGAAACAAACATTATTTCATAAAGAAAAAAGAATTCATAAAATACTATTTGCAGTACTACACTCACAGGCACGTTTAAATTCCAAAATAATGCAATGTTTTTTAAAAAATCTGATCGGTTATCTCACTTTTTTACTAAGTCTAAATTGAAAATAAAAAAGTTAGTCTCTTTTTAAGTTTATTATTGAATGTCACGATGCTTCAACATGAGTTTAATTATTTTTGTGAAATTTCTCCAATTTGTTACAATTTTTAATCTTCTTTCTGAAGATTAAGAAACTCCTTCCATTCGGCTGGATTGAAACCAGTGTCTTCCACTAAACCGTGCTACGACGCGACGTCGTATCGTGGAAATTTACGACGAGCAACGTAAAAATTCACGACACGACATCGCAACGTGCCACGACGCACGGAACGACGTCGTATAGTAGAAAGTCACGGTGCGCTCCTCAGTGCCGCATTAATTTGTTATTCAATATTCAAAGATGACTTTGTATTCTTCTGATGTTTTCTCTCATAGTATAGGACGCTCCTCGACTAGGGTTATTAAATAATCAACCTCAATGTCCTATGTCATCGTTGAATATTGAATAACAAATTAAAGCGGTACGACGCGACGTCGTACCGTGTCGTAGCACGACGCGACGTCGTATCGTGCTTATATGTAAGAGCCCTAAGCCACGGAACATTCAGCAAAAAACTTAAAAGTCACAATTATTAAAGGGACATCTCTAGTCAGTTGCTGGTAGCTGTAAAGGTATCTGGCTGAGTGAAGAAATAGATTTTTCACAGATGGTACTACGGCAAAAAAGTCGTTAAAAACTAAAAACAAAGATTGCAACAAGCGCATAGAAAAATTCATGAAATCCGTTGATTCGTAAGGTTCGTTCCGTGGCTTAATTCGCATAGCGTGTAGCACGATTTGTTTTTGTGTTCTTGTTTTTGCATTTTCAAAAATCATTAGTTGAAAAAAGTTTTTTATTTCATAAAATATCATTTAATCAACATTAAACTGTTATAATTTCAAAATTTTCAGCTGTCTTTCTGTCTGAAATCTGAAAAAGAGAAATTGCAAAAATAAAAGCTAAGTGATGTTAATTTAATTGCTACTTAAGTCTAAGCAGTATTTATTTTATTAAATATAAACTCATTTATAGGCTCATTTTTTCCTCCGCTAAAAATCGACATGTAAAATTGGCGAGTAGAATATTTAAAATCTCATGTCCTATAACCGGTAGCTTCATATTATTATAGTCTATACGCAGTGCAGTGACCACTATCCAACAGAAAAATACCTTTTATTTTGACCAATAACTCAATGTGTTGATTTGGTCTCATATTTTTTACAGGCTAGCTAGAAACTTGCCAACCCTGTAATGTAGATGTATAATCGAAGTGATGGTGGTACATAAAAGGGACTCGTATATACTCACTCGTTGTATATTTTAAAAATAGTCGGGAAGTTGTACAGACTATACGGTCATTGTTGCAACGTACGCAATAACCTAATATTGACAAAGAAATTCAAGTCAAACGTGAACTAGCCGTGCCTCATTGAATGCCCTCGTCGAGTTGTTCGCGCTTGGGGACTCAGTAAACACGTGTATGTGAACATTAGGGACGTAACTTGATATTTTCTTTAAATGTCCGATGAAATATCCGAACTTTTTTCAGTCAAACGGATAAGATAGCATTATATAAAAATAGCTGTCCATTAAAATGTCCAGGATAAGGCTCTTGAAAAAAATACACATTTCATTTTCGGTAGAGAATTCTTCTGTCGTCGTCTGTCGGTGTAACACGAAACTTTCAGGGTAATAATACAAAATAATTGAACTTGTTTTAAAAATATACACCTACTTATTATTATCATTTGATTATTGTTGACACATTGGTATTGAATATTAGTAGCATAAACAGAATATGGTACGATAATGTTCTAGTCTGAAGATTTAATTAGAAAATTAAAATGATGGTTCGTGGGTAAAATAAAACTGAAAACGTACTTAACGCAAAACGAAGTGTTTGTGGTTTTCAAACAAACGACGTGAATATCTTAACTGTTATACACCATTTCACGACCTGCGTGAGATATCTGTTTCTTCGATTACATTCCAAGACGATTAAGTGCGTAGTTTTCAATGTACTCCCCGATGTTGTTTTTCTTATATTCGATGTAGGTGTTTGTTTTGTCACTTCCGCGTTATATAAATCGAAACAATATTATATCTGAGGTATTATCGTGAGTCATTTATTACATTTTTCTATTTTAATTTCATAGAACACTATTGTTTTTTCTCAGTAATATCTCCAAGTAGCGAACGCCAATTGTATCTGACAAAATATATTAAGGGACACATAATGCAACAAATGTCACAACCCTACGTAATGCACATTCGGAGTACAGCAATATCTGAGTTGCAATTGCTACTATTGCAAATTTGCAGTTGCAGCTTATTGCTGAGCCAACACAGAGATACTGGTTTTCAGTAAATTTTATTCATTGATTTAAACTTCGGATATTATATCGACTATATAGGTACCTAAATTTAAGGTATATGTACGTGAACGGTGAGCGTAAAGAGAAGTTATGTCGTACCAACAAATATGCTGATATCTTGCTCGAAAGGTGAAATGGGATATATGTCAGAAATTTATTTCGCGTCTCTAAAGGAATATAAATACGTCGGCAAGAGCAATAGCTGGCTCAGTTGATGAATACCTAGGTTGTTAAAAATTTACGCAGTAAAAAAAACGTATCGTATAAAAACTATAACAAACGAATTTCGTAATAAGTTAATAAAAATCGATATCAATGAATATTAAAACGAAGCTTATGTGTGGTTTAACAAAAAAACGGTGTCCACTATTAAAAATAAACACCGAGAATGCATTTATTTATTGAGGCTTTCAATTAAAGTTGCCAATAAACACTGCACTGAACGTTGGACGCAGCAGTTTTTATCTGCTGCAATTCCAATTAAATAACTTGTTTCGAAAAAGGATTTAAAAATAAAACGAATGCCATTTGTGGCATATGTTTGGCGATCTCATATATATATATATATATATATATATATATATAATATAATATAATGTTATATATATATATAAGATCCAAATATGGCCGCCATATAAGTGGTCGTTGATGGCAGAAAAAAAATTGCTCTGATCCCTTTGAAAATTGGCAAAAAAAAATATTTGTGGTTAAAATTGCTTTTTTTCGCAATTTTCAAATAAGCCTGCAATACAAGCGTTCGTTGGCGGCAAAAAAAAACATTGAATACCCAGACCAGAACCAACTAACTAATGTTTGTTTCATAAATTGGCCAAAATCGGGAATCGAACCCGGAACCTCATGATCAAGTGCACTTAATAACCGCTGTGCCACCGAAGAGCATAAGCACACCCGGGAACCTAAACCCGACCACGCGCCGCAGGCCGAACCCGGCTCCACCGCCATACGTGGTGTACAGGGCTCGTATAGTATATGAACTCTTACCCTATTCATCCTTTCTTGCATATAACAATGGTTAAATATGCGTTCAACTGTCGAGTGTACGTAAAAGTGTAAGGGTATGGTTTTTTTGTTGGGACATAATTAATATACGAGTATATTATTTAAACTTATTTCTCGTGTTTTTTCCTCAATTTCATTTTTAAAATTGTTCAAAGTTTGAAGGTATTTTTTAATGTGTTGATTTTATGGAACTTGGGATATTTTAATGAGGGAATAACTTCGGGGACATTTTCATATTATTATTTTTATTCAAATAGAATAATCAATATTTTAGTTAATCATTAGTAGCAATAAACTATGTACTGTTTTTGTTCCTGTGTGTGTGCAATAAAGTGAATATCTATCTATGTATCTAACTATATTTTGCATTGAATAGTACGACGTTGCAATTAAATAGTTTTGCCTCAAGAATAATTTTTTACTCACAGGGCAAGAATTTCGAGATTTGCAACAATTACCCGTATAATATACAGAACGGTTGCATCTCCATTGAAAGGCCAACGGTTGTTAATTCTATAGCAACATGTACTTATGAAATTAATTACAAAGGGACGGGTAAAATCCGCGCCCATCAGAGACAAATAAGATTATGATATAAAATGTCAAAATGACGTGAGAAGGTTATATTTTTATGTCCTAATGGACATCTCTAGAGTGAGAATTTTAACTTATTATTCCCTGACCTTTCACATCTGACATTTCTCAGAATCATAAACCTTGTTGTCTCGCCACTTCGTTTTTTTTACCATTCAGAATAAACGAAAATACCTGTATATAGTATTAGAAGTAACTTCTACCCTTATTATGATGCATTCTCCAGGCCGTACACTCTTTACAAATAAATCTCTAGAAATCAGGCAAAAATTGGCGCTTCTGAAGTATAATCGTTAACCTAATAAGGGGATATCTCAGTAACCCCCCCTCTATTAGCTCAAATCCCCTTTTTTATCCCCCTAATATCACGTTACGTTCTACGCCTGCGCCGGCACCCCTTGTTCGCTCTACATTTAATCCGCAAGAAGGCACTAAGGCAGACACCATTCTTTGAGACCTGGATAGAATCCGTAAGTTGTACTAACGATACTGACATAATACGTAATTCTGAATCGAAATTTCTGGCATCTGCTGGTTACTACTTAGAGGCGATCACCACTCGAAGCTCTGTGATTAAAATGCCGCAGTAAGCTTTTGATCGACTCAACCCGTATTGACTATGGTTTACATTGTTAGTATAGGTTGCACAAAATGAGTAAATAAATAAACAAATAAACTTTACGGCTGTTGATAATATATTACAAATTCCATCATCAATAATAAAATGACAAAATACGAAAAATAATTTTGGTAAAACGACAAATTAAATTTAAAAAAATAACGTACGGGGCGCCTGCCACGTATATGCAATTTAACTGGTGCCAAATGTGATAAAATATATAATATATTTGATGTGTAAAATGGTGTGTAGGTTTCATTTTGTACGTTTTTTTTTTTCAATTTACTTTGTCACTTTCTTATAAGAGCGGTTACACACGGCGACTTTAGCAGTGATGCAAATGCGATGCAAATGCGACGAAATAGCGATGCAGTCACCAATTTACACACACGCGCGATTTTGACTAGCAAAGCAAACGCGATGCAATACTCAAGTCAGGACTTGAGTATTGCAGTGAGCACTGAAAATCATACTTAAGTCCTTGCCATGAGGGTCGTATTTCCAGTGCTTGAAATCATACTCAAGTCTGTTAAAATCCTGACTTGAGCATTGAGTACAGTTCTGGAATACGACCCTAAATGTTACTTTTGGTCTGTCTTTGTTGAGGGTGCGATGTAATAGGATCCTTAACTGAGGACCAGTGCTGGGGTCGCATTGTGTTTTCCAGCAAATACTACATTAGTGATTTTTTCGTTACCGCAGTTGGCAACACACAAAGTATCTTTACACTTAGTGTTTATGTTTATTTAAATGATCTTTTGTTTTATTCATGATTTTGTTTTGAATATTCTGTTTTGTTTGTTTTTTCTTAGGTGGTGACATTTATTTATTTATTTTTTATGATAGTAAGTGACGGGATGAACAAGTCGTGCGCCTGATGGTAAGCTACACGCCTGTCCATAACAGTTACAGTGCCACTTAGAGCTTTAAATTACTACTACTGCGCCCGTCACCCTGAGACATAAGTTGACAAGTCCCGTGTGCCTGTAATTTCACCAGCACCCTTTACTCACATTATATACCTTGCTCACATTATTGCTTGGCCAGAACCAAGTAAGGTGGCAGTACTTCCCCTGGACGAACTCTTTCACAAGGAGCTCTACTCTGCTACAAGATTATGGTAGTCAAATAAATGTATTTTCTTTCTTTCTACGTTCAATTAAAATCAATCTAGTCTTAATAAATTTGGAGTTCGTGTAATAAGCCTTCACGACAATCACCACATTCTTACTCACTTATTCTTTCAGTCATAAAATGTGGCATTATTTCATGCAAATAAATTCCCAATATCAAATAAAAACCAATCAAGTGTAGCACCCACAAAATTGTTTACCTTCCTGAGAATTTCGCGGAAAAGCGATCAATTCACTTTCAGAAGGAGAAATATCCATTCAGTTGAATAAGCGACATTTCTCGGAAGAAATATTTCTATTCGCTCTAGAACATTGTAACCTTTTTCTTTTTTTAATTAAAATGATTAGGATCAATTAATTTCATGAGATCGACAATTACGAAATTTTGTAATCCGAGTAATTATTACTACAATAAATAAAGTGAAAAAGTGTTTTCTCTTCAAGTGTTTGTTGATTAGCAAGAATAAGTTGTATATTTATTATTGGTAGTTGAAATACAGGTTTCCGCCTCATATTGATTGGCCAATGCGAAATTCTTATATATGAGATAATATATAAGAATACAGGGTTTATTTACGTACCAAAATTGACGACACCGAGTCGGTGGTAAGCGATACGCCTGTCCATGGCAGTTGCAGTGCCAATCAGAGCTTTAAATCGCAAAGATCTGTGGTGCACTGCCACTGCGCCCATCACCCTGAGACATAAGTTGACATGTTTCATGTGGCTGTAATTACACCAGCACCATTCAAAACTAGAACGCAATAATGCTCACATTACTGGTTGGCGGCAGAAATGGTTAGTACGTTCCTTTTTATCCAGTAACCCGATAAGGGAGTAATTGTTAATTGTTTTTGTATGGGTGAAAATAGTTAAATTAAAAAAATAAAGAGTTGGTGTTACATATTATCGGTTACATTAATATTTTTGAAGATCGGTAAATAACTTAATATTTTTTTATACTTCTAAAAAGAACGAGGTTATCAGTTCGATAGTTCGAGTTTTAAAAGCAAAATAATTGTACTCACAGCTAAAGCGGTATCCGGCTGTTCGAATTTAGTTCTGCCAATGCAAAGACAGCATTGCAGCATGAATCTGCAATGTGTATGGAAATTGCTGGCACTCGGTTATGGCTGTTACGTAATATGATTGAATGCGAGATGGAACGTACCTATTGTTTAGTGTTAAACTGGTATATTCGTTTCGAGCGGAACGATAAGCGATTGTTGAAAATGATACAGGAATTAGCTCGCTGTAATGAAATAACGCTTTTAGTATTGTATTTCAGCTAAAATATACACTATATACTAAAGTAATACCTTTTTCTGAGTAAAACAAAAGCGAGCACTCGATAGAACATTTTTATCCGCGAAATAATAAATTTGATAAATTATGTAGCACTCAAACTAGCCCGTAGACCTTTTTTCGACTTTATAGACTCTGAAGGGTTAAAAGTCAATTATTAGGACTTGTGATGGATAGAGGTCTAACTAATTGCCGTTTTTCATGAGACTTGCTTTCCATGAAATACGGGGTGTGGGAAAAAGTAATTTTGTGTTACTCTTCACTGTGGCAATCTAATTCGGTGGGCCACATTTATAAATATATAAGCCGTAAAAGATATTTTCTGAAGTAAGTTCTGGACTGGGAAGGGCTAGACATCAACATTACCAGCGAGTACACCATTCATCTTCGGTCACGAAAAAGTGGTCATGGCTGAGACCATTACGACTTCGAAGACGTCAGTAAAGCCTCTGAATGAGTGGGTTTTAAAATGAATATGGATAAAATGAAGATCATGTCCAATTTCCATGTACCGCCATCTGTCGTGAAAAGCGGAAACTCTACACTTGAAGATGTTGATGATTATATCACCTGGGACAAATTATCCAGTTAGGTTGGTCCAACTTCGAGAACGAGGTCAATCGCCGAATGTGACTCGGTTGGGCAGCGTTTAGGAAGCTACGCCATATTTTTTTTCGTCTAAAATACTACAGCGTGTTAAGTAAAAATCTTTGACTAGTGTGTGTTGTCAGTGACGACTTATAGCACTGAGACGTGGTCGCTCATGAAAGGTATCATATGTGCAAACATGATTACGATTATAAAAAGTGACCTGTTGAAAATTGTATCATATAACTTACCGCTTTAATTTACAGTTTTGAAAAATGACAATTCGCATCATTGACTTACAAATAAATGGACGACGGGTCTAATACAAAAAACCACGAAAAAAATGTCCCAAGTCAACCTATTTAAACGTAGTGACATGTAAAGGAATATGAAAAAGCTAAAACCTTGAATTTTAATTGTAATGTCATCGCAGTACTATCTAGTACTGCGATGTCAGTATTTTTGCTTGCTTCGCTGTCAGAAGAAACAAACGAAGACTGAAGCGTGAATGACGCTCTGTATACGATTTTAACGCCCTATAAGTTCGGACACTTTTTAGCGCCAACCCGACGTCCATATAATTGTAAGTCAATGATTCGCATATATATAATAGCAACTTCTCTAAAGAATGTTAATTTTATTGATATCACGATGGCTTACTACCACGATATTCAATTATTTTTTGTGACATAAAAAAACTAAAGAAAAAACTAAAAAAAAGACTAAAAAAACTAAACTAGTTTATTATAATTATTAAAACAAAGATCCAACACTAGGAATGCCATCCGGCTGGATTCGAATCAACGCCTTCAGCATACCGTGACTGGCGTTTTCCCAATTGATCTACGAAACGAACCAATCGTCCGTACGATTATATAAAGAGAACAAGCGTTTTCCAGTTTATAATAATATACAATGAATTCAAATTATCGCTTTCCTGTCCAACACGTCCTGCGTTCAATAATCGATCCCCTAGTTCATTATGCGACAGCTGTGTCAATAAAGGTATTCGTAATAAGGAATCTAATAACTTATGCTGAACGTCGTTCGTTATTCATGGTTTACATTTAGGTTAAGTTTCGGATAAACAAATAGAAGTTGTCTAGTAAATAGCTTATGAAAGAGTGTGTGAGTGAGATAGTGACTGTCAGTGAGATTTGCAGACGCAGGTTTCATAGCTGATACTACCTCTGAATCTATGCATCACTTGTTAAATGGCATAGAAAACCTGCACGTTACAAAAGATTCGCGTCGTAAATATATTCGAAAACAACCCCAATGCCATCGGGCCTGCTGGTAAACTATGGCCTTTTAATTTTCCTTCTTTTATTTGAGTGAACCAGTACTCAGAAGTGGGATGCATGAGTCGATAATCAAAATCCCTGGAATCGAAGAATACTTTTAAAATTATCTAAAAGTTACACAACATCGTTATCAAATAAAGTGGAAGAAACAATTCGAAAGCGAGGGTCAAGCCTCTCTCAATTGAAAATTAAATAACCCGAAATGTTTTAAGATAAAATTTGAAGGCACTCAAAACTGAGTACGTACATAATGCATACTAGAGTAGCGCTAACACAATTTCAGTCTCTAAAGCTTGTGTCACTGTTAACTGGATGTTAGAAAAACGTGAACTGAATACAAATTATTGCATTAAATGTATGCGCTATGTAATTGTAATACTCATAGTAGACTTAAGTGATTAAAATATTCACTGAAATCAGAAATTAATTTGCACAAATAATATGGGGCACCAGCTGCATTGAAAATGTGTTGTGACCGCAAAATATAGTTATTCGTAATATGCAGCCGGTACGTCGTCTGCTCGCCAGTTGTACTCCTAGGCGGCAATTGTGTTGCAATACAATTGGCGTGCTATCTTCAATATTTTTTTATAATTTGTTCTGAAATTAAATCTTAGAATCAATTTGAATTGCATTTTAATGACTATTTTTTATAAGATATTGATCGCCCAAAATTGTTTGTAATAGGGCCACATTTTTGGGCTTAAAGATTCTACCAATAAAATTAGTCGATATTTTTTTAGGAGTGTTATGATATTTCATATTTCATTATGAGATGTGATATTTCACATTAATTAGTTTTTTAAAAGAACGCTCTGTTTGCAATATAAACTAAAACTATACAGTCAAAATATTATACACAGTCGAACTATTTCTATTGTGTACAGATACAATAATATTATAATCCAAAAAATAATGTAAGTTATAAAAAAATAACTATTACGAATATTTATCGATAAAACTGAATATCGAAGACAACTCTATCTAATAATATTCGTTATAACGTGAACCCTGAGGCTTGTCTTGAGCTCAAAAAGTTGGAGTGCCCAACTTCCCAAAGTCCCTAAGCTACTAATTGTATTCCCTATCCTCAGATGTTGGCTTTTAACGAATATTGCTCTTCAAACTTTAAGCTCTGTAATTACGGAGAATTTTTGTTGAAATCACTTTTTCAGGAGAATTTTTAAATAAATTGTGTTTAGGTGTTTAAGGATTTTAATGTAATAGTTTTACAATAATATTATTTACTTAATTAATGCCTCATTTACTAAATGTTCAAAGCCCGCCTCCTCACTCTGACCAAAGAAACCTTTATAAATACGTAATCAAAAGTTGGTTTGAAATCAAGTAAACAAACGAATTTAATGTCATTAATCTTCGATCAGTGTTCTGGTTTTCAAGTGTTGTTGCCTCTACAGCTTTGTCTCTGGTTTATAACTATGTTACAATATACGTATACAACTTTAGACTATGGAAACCAAAGGATATGTTATATTGACATATATAAATCAGACGTTTTGTGTATATGATGCATTTAGACGTTGAAAACAAACATTTTATTGTCTTTTTTTAACTACTGCGTGCCGTCATAAGCCGAAAGAGATAGCACTACATTGATTTATGTCAAACACGGGAACCGAAAATACGTAACGTCATCTTAAATGCCAACTGTCGTCATTTTATCATTTTTGGACATTGACTTACAAACAAATGGACGACGGGTCTAATACAAAAACCACGAAAAAAATGTCCCAAGTCAACCTATTTAAACGTAGTGACATGTAAAGAAATATGAAAAAGCTAAAACGTTGAATTTAAATTGTAATGTCATCGCAGTACTGTCTAATTTTGCTTGCTTCGCTGTCAGTCGAACAAACGAAGACTAAAGCGTGAATGACGCTATTTATACGATTTTAACGCCGTATAAGTTCGGACACTTTAGCGCGGACCCAACGTCCATATAATTATAAGTCAATGTTTTTGGAGTACCCTTTGACATCCGTATCCGGTTGTCAAAGGGAAGTAAGTATATGAAATTCAAAATCTCATATCTATCATCCCGGATATTCCCATATGACGATGAATATTGATCTATTTTAATCAAACATTTTAATCATACTTTGATTACAGTAAACTATACAAATTACAAACATAACAAAATAAAAACAGTTTCAACATTCAAGCCATACATTTGCATGTCGATATTGACTTATCGATATTATGGTACAACACTAAAGAAATCCGCCATTTGTGGTGGACATTTTTGGTTTAGGTAGGGACGTTTATTCCGTAGATAGGGCAGCTCCTTTCCTTTATTTTTTTCTATCCTCTAAGTATACAACGCTGTTGAAGCTTTTTATTATGACGGTGTCTCTGGTTACTACAATTTGGTTCACGATAATATTTTGTTTGTAAAAACAAATATAGGCGTTATAGATCCGAGAAAATAGTTTCATTTCCTATTTGTAACAATAGCTAAAACCTAAGGACTCGATAAATATTATTAGTGTTTAAAAAATAAAAACAATTAACTATTATGAAAACAATTGGATTTACAATACTGAATTACTCTCTTTTGTGAAAAATTGTCAATAGAGAAAAATTGAATGGGTCTGTTTCATCATATTACTATGATTTTCAGTTTGGGAAATTATAGCCAAATCTATTAGTGTTAATAAGATTAAGTAACGTGATTGTGGCATATAAATAAATAAATGTATCAGCGAAAACAATATGTTTATAATACGTAATAAAATCGGTAGTAATTTAATGCTAATTATACTGTTTTTAGTGGTCAATATTTTTAATGTCTGTGGCCGTGTCAAAAACAGGGACCTGATTTACATGCTGGAGTGGATGCCTTTAAATATTCATGAACCAATCGATTTCTTGGAACTTGCGCAAAAGTCTTTTTTTAACCGTCAATGTCCTTATCAAAATTGTTTTTTAACCGATGACAGCTCATATTTTGCTGACCTAACAGAATTC